TGGCTTTCACCGAATTGCCAAAAATACTTTTGGAGTAAGCTACGATGTTAAGAAACTCATGTATAAGCAGTGTATTGTACCTTTCATTTCGTACGGCTGTCGTGCTTGGAGACATGTTCTTGCCAAGAAGGTTAACAAAAGAAATTTAAGAAAGATTCAACGTAGAATTCTTCTTCGTATTATTAGTGGTTATAGAACCTTAAGCTATGAGGCTACTTTTGTTCTTGCAGGAGTTCCGCCTATTGATTTTAAAATTGCATATAAGAATAATATTTTTGAGTCATTGGCAACTCATGCTTCGGAAAACTGTATTAATGGAATTGTCCCCTTCACTGAGCTTCCTCATCTCGCTACTTTAGAACCCATAAATTTCTGCGATTATAAAGAGACTGCTGAAATAAGTTTTCATATGGTTTGCTTTACAGATGGCAGCAAAATGAACAAGGTTGGTCTTGCATTTGTTCTTTTTGAAGGCCATTCCGAGGTTTGTTTTCTTAGACACCGTATACGGAATGAATGCACAGTTTTTCAAGCAGAACTTTTGTGCATTTATCTTGCCGTCAAATGGATCCAGGATCATGGGACAACATCCTCAAAGTACCTTATTTGTTCTGATTCTCTTTCTTCTCTTCAACTTTTGAACAGTATTACCAGCTGCGATAAATGAGTTATCGAAACCCTAGTAACTGTTAGCTCACTTAGAATTGAAGGTATTGATATCTGTTTTGCTTATGTGCGTGCTCATCATGGTTTCTACGGAAATGAAAGAGCTGATTTCTTAGCTAAAGATGCCTTAAATTTACCCATTGATATCAACATTAGCATTCCAAAGAGTTATTGGAAGTCCTTCATATAAAAAAGCTTTTAGCTATGTGGAATGAGGAATACATTTCATCTTGTAATGCTGAAGTCACCAAAAAGTTCCTTCCTTCTATTTACGATAGACTGAATTCCGAGTCTTTCCTCTCGTTAAATTTTAAAGTGTCTCAGTTTTTATCTGGTCACGGTATCTACGATCAAACAATTTATGTGAATGTTCAAAAAGAGTTCCTCAGGATGTGGAACATTTGATTTTCTCGTGCCCTACATTTGATGGCCCTAGATTATGCTTACAGAACGATTTGAAAATGTTCGGAGTGACTTGGCCAGTGAACTTATCTCGTTTTCGTGAAGTCCAGACTGCTGTTCTCTGCTTTTGTTCGCTTTATTTATGCATGTAATTTTTAATGTTTATTTACACATGTAACCTTTAATGTTTTAGTTAACTTACTTCTGTAAGCCCCGTGTTGTACATATGTGGTGCACGGGGAGTCTGTATGTTCTCAAAGGGAGAGAAAAAAAAAAAAAAAAAAAGGGCTTTGGGAAAAAAGAAAAAAAAAAGTTCGCAGAAAATCATAGATTTGGGCAGTGATTACTTCCCGCACTAAAGGTACTGCTTTCATGTTTTTAAATTATTATTTTATTTTGTTTTCTAACTTAAAAACGTTTTTAAGCGGAAAACTTTCATTACAACCAGATATTTTGGTAAATGCGCGCTCCATCACATTTGATTAAAGAATTGAAATGCCTATATCGGTACAGAAAATCAAAAAATAAAACAAAACCTGTTTTTTATTTATTTCATTTAAAAATTGCTTTATAAAAATATCATAAATTGAAAACATTTAATTTAGACATCAAAGCAGCACTTTAATTTCCTATCCTGTGATCAAAATTGTCTGTCTGAAAACGTATCTTTGTTGACAACTAATATACCCCAGATCTGAGAACAATCGATCAAAAATTTAGTTGCGCAATTGTTTTGAAACACTCATTGTAAAAAGTAAATCCGAGGTATTTGCAGAAGTGAAACTTTCTTAGGAGCGAAATGTCAAATAGCATAAAGTAATCGGCATTAAAAATAAAAACTGGTAATAAGATTACTAGAATTGGTAAATGGGTGTATAAATAGTTAACAATTCTTTCTCTGACCCACAAAGCCCCCAGCAGTGGTCCAGTGTTTAAAACCACTTAATACTGGTAGTTCGACCTAACTTGGCTTCAAACCCAGGCAAACGCGCTGGCTGAATGGTTGATTTTTTGTGGTTTACCCCATTTGTAACATGTATAAGAGCCAATTTCATTCATTTAAACTTATTTGCTCGAATTATTCTAACTTAATTAACCGATCCTTCAAGGCAAGTTGAAAATGGAATCAAAAATTGGAAATTTTGATATTAAATATCCCTGTTAATTTTTGTAGTACAAGAATCAAGCTTTTTGTACTTTTATATTTCCTAACGAGTGTAAAATTTCTCCCATAGCTATAAGAATTGGGAGACCGTATTAAAAAATTTATATTTCGTTATTTATTCAAAATTAAATTTTTAATCTGAAACGAATTTCTTCACGAAGGCCCACAAATGACCGCATAATTTATCTCTGAATACTGTTACTTCGAGCCGAGGTTGGCTGCATTGTTTCCGTAGTGTTGTTCATCGTCCCTATGTTAGTTAATATTAACCAGTTTGCTTCAGAAATCTCCCAAGAAAGCTACACTTCCTTCAGGCAGATAGCTCTCGTGTGCTGTGCCTTATTCAAATAAATAAACCTCCTCTACCTTCCATTACCCAAAAATATCAATAATTATTAAGAAAACTTTTAAAATGGAAATGAAAGTTAAAAACTAGAAAACAGAAAATTGTCTGCTTTTCTTGCGTACTTTTGAGGTAGGTAGAAATTCAGTAAGGTATATAAAATACGGGCCTTTAAAAGAAAGAGACAATGTGCAAGCCGGATTTTTTTTAATATGCAATGAATAGCTCGTGTGTTTGAAAATAATAAAGTGTATGATCAGAAGTTAATTTTTGTACCTTTTGTGAGATACAGTGGTTCAAAGTAAAAGTCGGACACTTACATTTTTGCATTTTATGAAGCAATTTTTAACATAAGAAATAATTTAAATAAATTGAAAAATAATCTTTGTAAAATCAACGTTCTAAAACATATTAATTCTTCTTAAACAAACGGGAAAATTAGCCACCTTAAGTTCTTAAAAAAAATAATAAACTTATAAAGAGTGAAATTCGTCTAAAAATGAAAGTCGGACAGCTTATGATTAGGCAATTTGGGTGCTATTAGTTTCAAAACGGCATTTTGAGTTGAATCACTCTTAAAAGTTTGAATCTCTTTTCAAAATGTTGCCACCAAATATTGTATTTAAAGATTTAAGATTTAAAGGCTTTTGGCTTGGTGATGCCCTCTGCTCTACTGCAGTATGAGTTATCTTTTTTCAGAAGAGACCCGTCTAGTCACAATTAATAACCTGGACATTTACCGTTAGAAAAGCTTCTTGAATACGCCGGTGAAGTTCTTGTCTGCCTTTATGTCTAAGCTTGCTGCTTCTTAGTGACAAACATGCCTCCGCTGTGGATACTAGTTTTTCTCTTAAACTTTCAGAATTACCCACGGCTTGCTTTGAATGCTTCTTCTTCGCCCGTTGATGACCCTGGAATCTTAAGGCCGGCAAAAATTAGTTTCGCCTTCTCACAAATTATTTTCGTTAATAGTGTCTTACATTTGGTTCTCGTAGATCTGTATGAGAAGAAATCTTTTAGCATTACCCAAAGCCCTGGCCATTGCGTAGAAATACTTGCGTCACCATTTGAAACATCAATCTCCTTAATCTTGTCTTTGTTTTTGAAGGTGGTGAAGATCGTTATTTATACCGATTATATGCACATGCAAGATCAGCCACACTCGCTCCTCGTTCTTGCTTCTCAATGATTTCACGTTTGACTTCTACGGCGATTATTCTTCTCTTAACCCTATCTTCTTAACCCTTGTCTTGTCTCTTGACCCTTCTTCTTTGGGACAAATGTGCACCGGTTTTGCCTTTTACTTAAATTTTGTGCTAAAAAATACAGTGTTCTGAATACAACTTTCACAAGTGACAGTAAGATACTAAGTGAGCAAGCGCTAAATCCAGATTGAATAGCCTGCATGTTGGCTATGTCCTGCATGTGACACCAGGAGTCTCCACGGACGTAAAACATGGCTTGTTAAGAAAGTCTTTTTTTTTAAAAAAAAAACATTTTGTTTTGCTTGTCGTACGAATCACTCGTTATGGGAGGTGCTCGTTAAGCAAGATTTCATTAGTTATACTTATTTCATTAGAAAAGACTTTTTTTGTACTTATACCATATTTCCTCGATTATTCCTCCCTAGCTCTTTGAAAATTTTTTAAATATTCCGCAGCATCACGGGAATGGGGTGAGTCACACCAAAAAAATGGTTTACGGTCTTTATTCATCAAAACTGCGTCGTCACTTTCGGTTCCACATCTTGCTACTTCTGAATCACGCCATCACTCGTCCGTTTCCATATGCCAATGCCGGATTTCAAATTACGGAGTGCCTATGATTTAAAAACCATTTACCCCCTCATCAGAATTAAATAAAGCGAGCAGAAATAAGAAAATAGCATTAGTTTACTTGGTGCAAACTAGAGGGAGCCGCATATGCTCGAGAAAGGTTAGGGATAGAGATAAATATAAACAATTAATAAAATGAAATTTTAGTTTTTATCTATATTTATCTCTATTCCAAACCTTTCTCGAGCATATGCGACTCCCTCTAGCTTGCACCAAGTAAACTAACTTATGCAATTTTCTTATTTCTACTCACTTTATTTCCATCTTCCGATTGGCGTCTCAGCTAGAAGCGGTCACGTGCCGTTGGTGAGGATGTTGCCAATCCCCGTATTACTACTTTTAATTTCTTTGTTCTTACTATACTATAACTGCGTCCTTCAGAAATTAAATTATACGCACAGTTTCTCCCTCTTTATTTTCTGACGATAAAATTTGTAGAAAAGAGGGGGGGATACGCGAGGAAATACGGTATTTTTTTCTGTTTAATAAAATGTAAGATCTATTGAACAAAAAATGTATGAAAAATTTTATTTTCAGATAATAATTGTTCTGTTGCTTGTTATTTTTGACACGAAATCTTTTCTGTTAGTGTCAACTCTCCTCTCATGCCAATAACTATTGTTGGTGCTATTTTCGTGGTAATCTACGTGATCGTATGTGTCAGAAGTTCCGGAGATGACTCATTTTCAGAAAATAACAATGAACGTCCACCTGCCACTACTCGAAGGCAGCAGAATGTGGTAAGAGTTACGTCTTAAATTTTAGAGTATCCATTCATTATCTTATATTTAGCTCTAAACTGTTGTAGAACAATACAAGGGGTGATCAAATGAAAAGGTACGAAATGACGTAAAAAAGTAACAGTTAAATATTTGCATATTCTGCCATGGGAGAACGTAGCGAGACATCTTGGGAGTGCGATTGGAATCTCTGACTGGGTTCGGAGCATGCGCGGGAGGCCGCATGCTCAAGAGAGAGCAGAGTTCCTATCAAAAGCGGCGTCCAAACGATGGGGCAGTCCGTATGAGGCCAGGATGGCGTTCGCGTTGCAAAATTCGATGACTGAGGAGCAGCGAGGTGTTATCCGATTTCTGACAGCGGAAGGTGAGAAACCGGCAGCTATTCATCTCCGGATGGTGACAGTTTACAGGGAGAAATGAGTCTCTGACAAGTCTGTCAGAAAATGGAGTGCCCGTTTTCGTGCAGGCCGTGAGAGTGTGGGTGATGACCCGAGACCAGGCCACGCAAACACTGTCATCAAGAGCGATCCCGACAAGGTGGACGACCTAGTAAGAAGTGATCGGCGTGTCACATTGCGAATGGTTGAATGGTTGAAGGTGGATGTCAGCTATGGAACCGTGTGGACAATTGCTCACGACATGTTGCGATATCGGAAGGTGTGTGCCGCTTGGGTTCCGAAGCAGCTCACCGACCAGCAAAAGGAACTGCGTATGGGGCTAGCACTGCAACATTTGTTTCGGTATCAGGAAGCCCCCGCTTTCATGGAGCGGATCGTCACAGGTGATGAGACCTGGTGCCATCACTACGAGCCAGAGACAAAGCGGGACAGGATGCAGTGGAAGCATGCGTGGTCACCTCTTCCTAAAAAGTTCAAAGCCGTGCCGTCAGCAGGTAAGGTGTTGCTCACCGTCATTTTCGACGTTCAAGGTCCGCTACTTGTGAAATTCCTCGAGCACAGAAAAACCATTAACTCCGATGTGTACTGTGAGACACTTCGATGCCTACGCAGGTCCAACAAGAACAAAAGACCGGGGCTGCTCACGGAGGGTGTGTTTCTGCTCCGTGATAACGCGCGTCCACATGTCTCCAGAGTCGCACATATGGAACTGGCCAAGTTCAAGTGGGAGACTTTGGACCATCCGCCCTACAGTCCGGACATGTCGCCCTGCGATTTCCATGTGTTTGGTCCACTGAAGAAACACCTGAAAGGGAAATGCTTCAACTCGGACGACGTACTCAAGGACGCTGTGAAGGACTGGGTCTCGTCACGGCCACAGGAATTTTGGGAACAAGGAATCCTGCGGCTTGTTCATCAGTGGGATCGTTGTGCTCAGGCCTATGGTGTATATTTTGAATAAGCCTACATTTGTACCCACCGTGTCGTTTCGTACCTTTTCATTTGATCACCCCTTGTATAATTAGTGAAATTCATAACTCAAAAGTGAAACAGTATTGGATTGTGATTTAAATAATTCAAACTATTTTTATTAAAAAATTCCCATTTCTTCTATAGACTTGTTTGTCGTATATTCAGTTAAATTTCAACTTAGCTTCATTAGTTGCCAAAAATGTGTTGAAATTTAGGTTTTAAAAGGTAATTTAAGTAATTAAGTTTCTCAGACAGGTTTTAACTGATTTCCTCCAGCTCCTGCAGAACGTTTCTTTAGTATATTCTAAAAATTCAATAGCGATTAAGTGGGATTTCCAAACAGACCCTAAGTTTTCAGAGTACTGGAAAAAAAGAATCAAAATAACAGGTAATTTCTCGTTAAAATTTATAAATTCTATTTACAAATGAAAAAAAAAATGCTTAAAAATATTTGTCTGAATGAAATGAATTTCTTTCCAAGCAACAACTAATTCATAAATAACTTTTTTCTTGCCAAACCAGGAAACGAAAACCTTTGACACTTCAGATTAATATGTATACGTTTGATGTCATGATTTAAATTTAATGTAATATAACAACTTTTTCAATATCAATAAAAGAATTAATGTGGCAATAACATAACGTGTCAATTATCCTAACCTGAAACAAAAAGTTGCCGACAGCAGCTGTTTATTTAAAATGTTGACATTAACGAAAGATTTTCGACATACAATGGCATCACATGAAATCTCGTGCTTTCTTCAACGTCAGAGTATGAGACCGTATATGATAATATATTTAATGTTTGATAATGAAATTTTTTATGTCAAATTTTGTAAAACTTAAATTTTTGATTAACAAACTCTTCGATTTGAAAGCAAGCAGTGGCAATATTTTTTTTTATTTTTATCTACAGCGCGCAAGACTGTTACCACTCTGAAAAATGAGTGGTAAAATTAGTGTTTTTAGAGTTTTTAATTAATATCTTCGCTGATTAAAATCGTAAGAAGAGGAGAATGGTCGAAATGGCGTTCCACGAATTTTTGAAATCCGGGGGGGGGAGTACCCCTTTCAAAACTCAACTCTCCGTCGTTCCGGAGATGTCACAAATAAAGAGATAGACGCGCACAGGTTTTAACCACTTGCGCTAAAAAGACGTGCCACGCATGTTGAGATGCTTTTGTCTCAACCCGCGAGCGACGTGAACACGTCGATAGGCATTTATCGCAAAAATGAAAACGTGGTGCACACGTCTATTTCTCGAGTTACAGCTCTGGATTGCACTCGCAGACGCGGAACGGCGTAAATGAGACACTTTACCGCTTGTTATACTGTAGCGCACGGCACCGCAACCGTGAAGTTTAATCGTAGCGCAAGTGCTTATAGACTAGCGCACATGCCTGTCAGATGAGCGGGCTCTTGCCAAAGCAAAATTAATTAAGTTCTTTGGACATATGAACACTGTTGCTCAACGTGAACTTCGAGGCCACATCTTCCTGCATTGTGAAGAGTGCTACTTTACGCTTCCTGCATAGTGAGTGTAGGGCTCATTCATGCGAAGGTCTTCTCGTATAGCCATGGTTTCTTTAAATCGTACTTGTCAATTATGTGCAGCGTCTTGCATTCTTTGTGTAGCTGCATTCTGTCCTGACTCTTCCCACTTGAATTTGGCCCACCAGCGGCCGAGCGGTAAAGTCGCTGAACACTGGTAGTTCGGTCCGCGGTTCTAATCCCGCTTACGGGCTGGTTGCATGGGTGTTTTTGTGGTTTTCCCCATGTGTAACGTGTAATCGAGCCAGTTTCCCTTAGAAAGTCCTCCACGAAGGCATCCCTCCCTTAGGCAGATAGCCCTAGTGTGCTTTGCCATAATTAAATACACCACCACCCACTTGAATTTGACGATGATGTTTGAGAGTCTTGTGTCCTTCGTCTACCTGGAAGTTTTGTCTCTCCATCATGCATATCGTGTTGAGGTTCCACTTGTCTGATGAGCCTCTTAATCGTTTCTTCTTCAGCACGCAATATTTCTTGAATTTCTGCTTGTCTCCTGAGCCTGTTATTCGTTCCTTCTTCAGTTTCTTGAACGCGTTTCATTTTCTGTAGCTTGCCGCAACCTTTTTACTTTAGCTCTTTGTTTTCTTAATGCATCTCCCATAATGTTTCTTTTGCGTTTGGGCATTTTAGTAAATTTTTAAAAAAATAGCAGTGTATTAAAACAATAATTCAACTGAAATACATTTAATATCTACCAGAGTTTAAAAAACTATGTAATAAAAGAAATTAAACATTTTAAACAAAATTATTAAAATGCACTGAAAATAAAATGAACTACTAATTTAACGTACTGTACTCGAAGTTGCTAACTGCGGCGAAAGCAAACACTTTAAGCTCTATGTACACCTGAAAAAAATGCATAAAAATATCTCAGTATGAACGAAATCGGATCATTCCTTTCAAGCACCCACCGATTCGTAAATAATTTTTTGTTGCCGAGACAGGAAACAAAAATTTGGCACTTCAGGTTAATACGTATGACGTCATGATTTAAATTTAATGTAATACAACAACTTTTTCTCACTCTCAATAAAAGAATTAACGTGACAGTAACATAACGTGTCAATTATCCCAGCCTGAAAAAAAGTTGTCAGCAGGAACTATTTATTTAAAATACTGACAATAACGAAATATTTTCGACATGCAATGACGTCATGTGCAATCGCGTGTTTTCTTGAATATCAGAATATGACCTGATAAATTAATAATATATTTAATGTTTGGCAATGTTATTTTCCTTTCATATTTTGCAAAACTTACAAATTTCTTAGCAACGCACTCTGCGATTTGAAAGTGAGCCGAAGTAAAACAGATTTTTATTTAAAGTCGGGCGAAGATAAGAATGCTCGAAATGGTGTCTTATGAATGTTTGGAATTCTGGGGAGGGTACCTCTCTCGAAGATCAACTCCCTGTCGTTTCGGATATGTCACAAAGAAATAAAAGGATGCGCAGAGATTTTTAATAGCATAGATAACTGCAAGACAATTGGTAATTTTTTATTTTATAACGTAAAACTCATTTTACGCTCACTTTACAGTACGAGATATCATTCCTTCGCTCCCCCCCCCTCGTCTGAAACGTTAGTCATTTTTAACTTTCCGTTAAGTGAAAAAAGCAGTAGTTTCTTGGCAATATAGTTCATTCGCTTGTATTATTTGTCATTTTTCACTTCTGAAACGTTAACTTTATTTAGCTCATTAACATCAACTTGAGAAATTTGCAGTGTTTTTTTTTTTTTTTTTTGTTTTCCTTCAAGGGCACAGAATTTTGCATTTTGAACGAAGGTGTAAAAATGGACACCCACCAGTTTATTGGGAAAGTATTTTTGGAGATGCAAGTGATAAATTCCAGAGGAAAATCTTTGAACCAATAATTTGTTCTCAATAGTTACAGAATTTTTCTCATTGCTTTCAGCTCTTTCTCTCTCTCTATATATATATATTATACCTTTGGGCTGAAGAATTACTACCATCGGATGATGCAATGGACAGTAGAATTTGAGTGAAAACCAGAACGTAAAAATATTTTGTTCCGTAATAGCAGCATTTGCCGAATTCTATCCTCCACAAACACAT